TTTGGATGAGTTGCTTAACTCTATAAACCATCTTGACGGAAAAATTAAATTCGCAATGGAGGTGGAGAAGAATAAACGACTACCCGTTCTGGATATTGAGGCCATTTGCTTCAACGGAATACTCAAAAATTGGTCTCAGCCGTCAGGATTCAGGAGTTTAGAACGGCATATAAAGCCGGACACCCATGATGAAATGAAGGAAATATTTGATTTCCTATTTCCAGTTGATCTAAGCCTTTGAAGAAAGGAGAACAGCTTTTCACTTATTCTAGTTCCTTTAATCCGGTTCCACTCGAATAATGGAATCGCCTTAAAAGTTTTTTTTACTGACAGTGGGCATCGGACATGCAAAGGTTTGGACTCTGCCATTACTGCATTCTGATTAAAAGGAGCATTAGCTTCATCGAAACGCGTCTGAGATGAAAAGGCCAATGGTATATTGGTTGATTTTGAAATCCGCTGCGGGGTCAAGGAAAAATGTTCTCTCGGCCAGACGACGAAGTTTATGGCCCAGCAAACCCCGGAGAACGCAAAGCCAGGTGGCCCAGTTACATAAAAAAGATGGCTCCGTCCCTTGAGCTGGGGGTCTCTTCAGTTAACGACCCACATGACGGCAAAGATTGAACGTCTTTCCGATCGTCTGAAAGGCGCTGTGAGCAAAAGCAGAAATGCCATCATCTCGCAGTCCTGGTTAGCCACACTCCAAGTGGGAAGCCAAGAGAATGTCCGGCAAGAGACAGCAGCTCTGCCCTGAATTCCCATCAAAACAACCGTCGGAGTGAGTCCCAGGCCAACTGACTTCACTAACACGATTTCGAGCACAATCTGCCTCGGCCACTTTCCGGACCCCAGACCGGCATGTCTTTGACACTTGACAAAATGCCGGCCCAGTTTCAAAACAGGCGCAAGCTCACTATTTGGATGGTGGTGACATTTGTTGAAAATCTCGCGAATATATTCAAAAGTCCGCTGAAGTGGATCATTGTCGCATGAAAGTGGCCAAATGGCGAGGGTGGCAATTGGAGGTGGAATGACTTTAACTGGACGAGCAATGAGGCCAGTTAAAATCTCCCAACCAGCCTACAGACGTACCGGAGGATAGCTAAGCCGTCAGTGCCGGGGTCTCCGGTAGTTCGGTTGTAGAGCCAGCGCTGGTCTTGCCAACTGAAATGCATGGTCACTTAGTGTCAATTTGCCCTAAGCAAGCTCAGCGACGTGACTTAGAGAAGATTTGTCCTGGCCGGCCGGCGAGGCAGTGCTCAGACGAGGCAGGGCCAGACGGACATGTCCAATGGACTCCGGTTGATAAAGCGTTTGTGTGACTTCCGCTGGCACCTGGTTCGGATGAACGTGCCTATCGG